TATTTCTTACTAATCAGAAAGTTTAATTTTTTTCTCATCAAAAAAAGAAAGTTGAATTTTCTTAAAAGTCAACCTCCTTGGTACATCACACGTAATACAATTCACCGGTTCAGATCTCTCCATGTCATCACCTGGACCCAACCATTCAATCTTGGACACAAACGCCTCTTCGTCATTGGTTCTGTGGGTCCTACAATTCATTGGTAAAAGCAAAACTCCATCATTACTTCAGCTTCTTCCGTTTCCACGGCTTCCAAGCAATTCTATTTCTACCATCCTCTCCTCGCCTCTGCCTGTAGTACAAAGGGAAAACGAAAGAGAAAGTTACGGAGGTGTTTGCCGGTGGGTTGATGGCCAGAACTAATAACAACAAGTTTACACCCATTAACTTCAATCACATCTTGGAGAAGAACGTCACCGCCGCCCCCAGTTCCAGCAAAGCCAAGCTTTCGCAGAACCCACACCAACACCCATCCTCTTCTTTTTCCTCTTATTCTTCTATCTCGTCTCCGAAGACCCATGGCCGGATGCTCGTTCTGACCCGGCCTACGCCCAAGCCGCTCAATGTAACCCCACCTCTGTCCCCACGGAAACAACAGCAGCAGCAAACCCATCAAGTGCAACACCGTGAAGTTCCAGATCAAGTCCCTGAAGGTTCTGGTTCGGATCAGATTTCGTTGCGTCCTCTTGGTCGAACTGGGTCAGGTTTAACGGTTCCGGCTACGGTTCCTAATCAAGAGAGGGAGAAAGAGATTGGGTCAGTTGCTGGATCGCCGAAACCGGACAAATTTGTGCCGCCTCATCTGAGGCCGGGATTTGTAGGGAGGGAGGAGAGACCTGGACCTGAGGTTTATCGGGGTAGGGAATCCGCTCAGAGACATTTTGGATCACCGGATCGGCATGTTGAAGATGGGCGGCCCAAGTCGGGTGGGCATGAGCGAATTAGGAGAGGTGGCGAGGCAGATCTGGGATTGATGATGGGTCGACCCAGAACCAGCGGCAGCCGCCCCAGTTCTAGTGGATGGTATGCCTTTTTTCCTCCTTTGCATTATTTTTCTTGATCTCTATGTTTTTGGGGTCCATTAGTTCCTCACTTTTTAAAGTTCATCACTTTGGATTGAATCATCAATTTTTATGTCATTATAGAAGGTGCTGATGCAAATGTTCTGCTGGGATGATCCATTCACATTTTCTGTTTTGCGCATCTGAGAGTTGATTATGATATAAAGATATGGTGTTGGTATATGTAGATCATAAGCTTCTGCATGAATATATAATCTTAGACCATTGAAATCACAGATTTTTTTTTTTTTGGTAGAACAATGAAATCATAGATAAATGGCCTTATTTGTTATTCATAGTTGGACCCCGAAAAAGGAAAATAGTTTCTAGCTTCATCTAGACATAATGGGTTTATTAAGCTTTAAAAAACACATTTATCCTGAGTTGAAGTTCTGCTTTGTTTGATTTGTTGGGGAATGATTGGTTTGCTTAGGCATATAAATTTAGTTTCTTTCAACCAGTATAAGTTGGTTTGTTTGACACTTGAGATTATATGCAGCCTAACCAATCTGTATAGCACTCCTGTTATGCTGTTCCTATGATAGGATGTCCAAGGAGCTTGATTAAATGGAAAGAGTATTTTTTAAGCTTGATTAGGCTGCCCCTAGAATTGTGTGGTAGAGCTTGATATTGGAGAGTTTTAGCATTACATTTTTTTCTATTTCCATTACCCTAATTTTGTAGCTCTTTGTTTAGCTTGTTATTTCTTGGCTGCAATACCATGCTATTTTTGCTGGTCTTCAACTCTTTTATCCCTGGTTTTCATAGCTTCCAAGGGTTTGATGGTTAACTACACAATTTACCCTTAATATTTAGCTTCTAATGAACTCAAATTGAAACATAAGTGGCAAATTTAGCTTTTTGATAAAATGAAAAGTCATTAACTGGGTACTATTTCTTGAACTTGATTTATCTGCTCAACAGGTGCAGTGGATGCACTGACATGTTTGTAGATATCATATGCATGGTTTTTAGTTTTGTACCAAGCATGCCTTACCATTTCTGAAATTGCCAAGTCTATTGGAAGGTGCAGATATAGCTGTCATGATGGTGGCAACCCAACGCTGTTTACAAGAGTTGTGTTTGGTGTGTGTTATTTTGTGTACTTATTGCTTTGTTCCTGCATTGCCCAATAGAGGATGGAAAGATTTCTGTACAGGAATTGATGCCACTTTGGCATTTCTGCCAGCCTCATCTTTGAGTTTCCCTATATAACTTATATCATGAAATTTGAGGTCCACATTTAGTATATTCATTTGTAGGATCCTTAAGCAGAATGAGATAGAGTAGATTGTATATCTCCCTGTTTATATTTCTTCTAGATCAGTGACTTATTTTTCTCAAATTGACATTTTAGTTGATAAAGTTTTATGTTACTGGATCCTACCTTTACCTTCTTATTAATTGCAGCAGGCTCATGAATTGTTGTTCTTTGTATTGCAATTATGTAAAACTTTCTTCTGGAAGTATACTTGTCTATGATAATTCTTCCCGTGTTTTTGTTGCACCCTGACTTGTTTCATTACCTTGAGACAATTTGATGCTGCTAGCCTGCTACAAATGCCTCTCGCTTAATGTGATACCCATCTGCCAATTCCCCACAAACTGTTTGTCTGATATTATACCACTACATTTTTTTTTTTTTTTTTGGGGGGTTTGAGATTTTGAATTTGAGGCAATGGGGTCAGGTAACTGGAAGTTTTATAGAACTGGAGATATTTAAGGATGCAAATTATCCAGACAAATTTGCTTCTTAAGAAATTTAAAAACCCTGTTAAAATGACTTGATAAAGAGCCTCTTGTACAAAAATAACAAAATAGATATATCATTTTTGGATGTCATTTTACGTGTCATAATGTTTTGTTGTATTTTTCTATAAATGTAAACTGATGGCATGAAGCAATAAATGTTTCCGTGCAGAATTGTATCATGGTGACATTTTTCTGAAGATAGGAGATTTAATTGAACTCATGACAACAAACATAGACACTTTCTTGTTACAAGCTGTTGTCTTTGCCCTTCTGAATTTGACATTGTTTCTTCAGAATCATAATAGACTTAAGTTCGAGGAAGGCAGAACCAAGTGACACCTTTTGAGTTTCTAAAAACCCTGTGCATCTGAAGTGATATTCTCAAGGAAGAGGTTTGAGTTTCCAAGTCCCTTCGATGCAAGGTAGGTTGTCCTGACTGTCAGGGTGCTTACGGAATGTAGAATTTATAATCATATTTGTCTCTGTTTAATTTACGTTACCATCATGAAGGGGTTAATTTATTGCCTCTATTTCTTATTCATTTCATTGTCTTCACTTCCTGTCTGAGAAAATTTTATTCATTGCTTCTCCCATTTCAATTTAATTTTGTGGTTTGGTAGTGAAAGAGCTCAATATGCATCTTGATCTTTCTGCATCTGCATCTCTGCTCCGAATCTCCTTTCCATTACCAATATTTTGATGTTCTTCATGACATGGCATTCAAGCATAATACTGTGTTTGTTACATTCAGTAGTGATTATGCTTCAAAAATTCATAATTGAATTCATAGGAAAGGTCATTACTCATTAGAATGTAGTTTTGCTAGTTCACAATCCAGGC